GGAGCTTAGTCGATCTTCTCCACCTTCCCGATGATCTTCTCCTCGAAGATGGGCAGGATGGTGTCATCCTCCCGCACCTCCTCGAAGACCACGCCGCAGTCGAACTCGTCGCTCACCTTCTTAAAGTAATACCTGGAAAACCAGAAACGTGGAGGGAAAAGTAGAGCAGGTGAAGGAAGGGTCATGGGGGCACCGTGGTTCCCAGACCCGGGTACAACCCTTCTGAGCCCCTGAGCTCGTGGTGCACAGGGAGCAGTTCCCCCCAGCGTGGCCCTCACCCAGTGGTCAGGATCCGTGCTGGCACACCCAGGAGCTCCAGCCCTGAAGCCAAGCCTCCCAAAAGTACTGGCAGGAGGCACCTATGTTGGTGGAACGTTTCTAGGCAGGCCTTCCCACAGCAGCTCCTGCTTTGGAAGGGGATTTGGAGAGCTGCACACCCCATGCCTGGCTACTCTGAGATCCTGTCAGGACCCAACCCCCTGTCCTCACTGGAGGAAAGTTTGGGAAGAGCTGAAACAGCTCTGGAAATTGGAAAGTTCCTCACAGCATCACCAAGCACTGGTTGACACTGCTCCTCACCAGCCTGGGACCTTGCAGGGCCCTGCAGGGCAGCTCAGGAGCTTCTGTTAAGGTGCAAACCATGATGCAGGACATTGCTGGTACAAAACTCCATCTGCCCCTTCCCTCTAACCTGCCTCTTCGACAGCCTTGGCTCTGCTGCTACATTCCACCACGGCACGCCTGGCGAGAGCCCTGTTGGGACCTCTTGACCTACCTCCACCACGCTCCTTTGCCACCACGGTGGTGGCAACAGCCCTGCGTCCCAGCAGTGGCATCTGCCAGGGGCTGGGGGCAGCCTGCTGGCACCGTGGGGAGCAGCCCTTACCTGTAGTTGCCTTTCTTGGTGAGCAGCTCCTTGAACTGCCCCAGGGTGACCACGCGGCCCTTGACGAGGGTGCGGTAGGGGATGGGCTCTCCACAGAAGTAATAAGCCACCACGATGTTCTCGCAGGGCTGGGACGCGCCGCTGCCCGGCCTCTTCTGGGGCTTCAACCTGCTGGGCAAAACCACGAGTCACCATCTGCCCCACAGCTGGGCTGGAGGTGCCCTCAGGAGCGCCCCTGGCTCTGCCCACCGGCTCTCCTGGCACACAGCCACACGCTGAAGCTGGTGAAGGAGCGACGGGCGCTTGAAAGGCTGGATGGGGCTGGACTGCAGCTGCAAGGAGGGCACAGGTTCCAGCTCTGCTCCTCCAGGCTGAGGAAACCCGTCGGTGGGCTTGCAGAGGGGATGGCCCTGCCCGCAGCACCGCTGGCTTGGGGAGTGGCTGGCCAAGGCTGAGCAGCCCACGGGCACCAGCAGCACCCTCCTGGTGCACAGCGGGCACGCCTGGGCACGGCAAACACCGCTCAGGCTACTCAGGAGTATTGCTGCTGGGGCCAAACCCCCTCAGCCTGGCTTTCCACTGACCCACCCCCGTGGGGCTGTGCAGAGAGCCCTGCTCCTGCTCCCCATGGCTCCCCTGGGCACCCCTGCCAGTGTTGATGGGGGTCGGAGGGGATGGAGCTCCCAGGGATGTGCCCTGGAGGCTTTGCTGCCCGTGCCCTCCACGCAGGGTGCCAGAGCAGCTGCCACCCCCAAACCTCAGAGACTTTAAATGTCTTGTGTTTTCCTGGCTCTCAGGATGTTTCTCTGGTCTCTGCTCCCAGCCCACACACGGGGGTTCTGCTCGTGGTGCCACCGTTAGATCAAAAGTGTCAGCCTGGTCCTAACCCCATTTGAGAGGGAGACAGAAGCAGCAATAATAAAACCCAGGGTACTCTGCCCTTCTGTAGAGCCTTTCATCTGGGTGCTGTAAATGCTGCACAAACACTGGAGCAGCCTACACAAACTGGTAACTTGGCATGTGTGGTCGAGGCCAGAGGCAGCCTTCTTTTTCTAAGTCACATAAAAAACAGATTTGGCAGCTTTAAAAAAATATTTAAAAAGCACGCTGGATAAAAAAGACGATTTTGTATTTCCATGACTGGAAAGCTGCTATAAAAAACCAGAACTTGCCAAGCACATGAGGCAATCGCAGTTTTGGAAATGACTCTGGCCCTAACCTTTAAACACTGGCTCGTGGGCAGAGGACCTTTTCTAATGGCATGCCCACGTAAACATCAGTGCTGCAAAGCAAGACAATCTTTTCCCCTCTTTCTAAAGGCATGACAGGTTTCTAAAGTTCAGCTAATAACCTTCCTGGTGCCTGCTCTGCCTCGGAGGCCTTTGGAGAAGATGCAACACCCTGAGAGGCCAGGGTCAGCTCCTGGTGCCAGCAGAGCTCTCGGAGCCTCTCCCATCCTCCTATCAAAGCACAGGATGCCCTTTAGCTAGAAAAACATTAAGGAATTGAGTCATCCTTGGAAGAAAAAAAAATGAGGCATTTAAAGGAAAAATGGGTCATAAATTCAGGCAAATTCTGTGAACCTCGCGAGTCAGAAGTTAATTGAAGGGGTTTGGAAAACCTCAAAGTCCCTAAGCTGCTCTTCATCCTGCTAGAGGCAAGTGACTAAGAGAGAGCTGGTGTGTGCCTGGGGACGTGGGGACACAGCCACAGGCCCTGTGCAGGCTGCTGTGCTCCTTCGCCTGGGGAGGGGGGGAAGACACCACAGAGCTCTGCT